ATTTTTTACTTTTTTTTTACATATTTATTACATATTTTTATAATTCTACATTTTTTAAAAATTTTTTAAACATATTTATATTACATATGACTTTTTTCTAGAATATTTGTTAAATGATAAATAATAAATGATATGGCAACGTTGCACGTAAATTCGTTCTCAATCGTATTCTTTTTTGTGTTTTTTTAGGGTCAGTGGTAAGTTCTTTGTTATTTTTAAGTGTTCTCAATCGTTCGGCCCAAAAGGTATAACGTTCTCAATCGTTCGATAGCCGTCGATGTATATTTCAGATCAATAAAAAAAAAAATACACCGTTTCTTTTGATTACCAATTAAAAAAAATATTATACTCAGCTATTAATCATCATATTGACTAATAAGTATTTTAGAATTGATTTAGAACAAAATCGATTTTGTATACATATCTTATTTAGTACTTAAAATATTTATATGTTACTTAAATAATTTAAAAAAGGTAAAATCTTRTATTCAATTTTCAACATTTATGTACCTATTCAAATTAAAGATTTTATAGATTTTAAACCACGAAAATGTTTTAATATTTTCATATATTATTATTGGTGTAATATTTGAATAAGAATAATCGTTTTAGTAAGTGTTTATTCACTTTATTTCCAAAATAATTTTATTTTACTTTTCTAATTAGTTTTTACGATTCAGTTAACATTTGAAAATGTATAACTTCCGGATCAATTTATTAAATTTTCTATTAAATATAATAAACTTCCGGGAACATTTAGAGGTTACAGCTCATGTATGTTAACCGCTCTAAATGTATCTATCAATAATTTATTATATGACGCATGRCTGCTTTTCTGTATTCAGTACTGTTTTTTAGCTGTTTTAAGTTAAAACTTACTTATTATACACTCTATCATCGTTTAACTAATAAAATATTTATGTGAAGATGATAAAATTTAAAGTGTTTGTACTTTTTGGATTTCTCTCATTGTCTCAATCAAAAAACATTTTTATGCCGAACTTGCCTATGGTACATTCTTGATTTAAAAAAAAACATATTTTTATTTTTTATAACTATCATTGATATTCATAAATTATAAATAACATTCTACATAAGTTTATAATTTATAAATATTTATCTTATTACAGGGAGAATATCGAGTGGTTTTTGAAAAAGCATATCCTTGTGATACAACAAAAAACTATTCAATTCAATTGAATATTTTTATTAGTAAAATAACACCAAGTTTAAAAGAGTATAGAGGGAATATAACGTTTTTAGTACCTTTCGACGATACTCTTACAGTAAGTACTAAGCATATTATGATTAATTTAATAGATATTTAAATGATACATAATGAAACATCGATTTCCTCATAAAAAAAATCTTATTATTTTAATCAGTATAAAATATAAAATAAAAAACAAACAAACTAAAAAATTCATTTGTTAATTTTAGTGAGTGTGCTTTTTTTTTCATATAAACACAAAGAAAGTATTTGTAAATTTCGTATTTAATAGTATGCTTACGAAAAACAATTTTTTTTTACAACAGCTATTAGTTAACTCGGTGTAGTTTATATTTAACATTAACGGAATTTAAAATGAGACAAATTCATTGGCATTATTTAATTTGCCACGGGAAACGCAGTACATGCAGGCTCAGCTGGTTACATATATCTAGTTATAGTTCAACAAAAGATAAGGATTAAAGAAATTATATTATTTTTAATATAGTAACGTAAAAACATATAATAGGCATATATACCTAGTTGCTAGGTTAATGATTTATATTTTATTTCAATGAAATTACCAATGTCACTTATTTTGATCAGTGATCAATGAAATGTTAAATAAAAATGATTTATGACATTAAATGTGTAAAAATAGAATTGAATGAAATAGATTAATAAGATAATCCAAAAAAGTTTTGAGTTAAATTAATCAACACATTTAATATAGTGAATAATAACAATAATATAATATGATAACGCCTTCATAAACGTTAAAAACTTATAGCGACAAACCGGCAACGGGTTGCATATTATCTCGATTGCTATAAAAAGTRTATTATAATTTATATTATAGCTCAGAGGTGTTCAAAAATTGTGCGTTGCGGCTCCCCCAGGCGAGAGTTTGCAAAAGGAGCCGCGTCAAAGTACCGGAAATCATCATCATATWTAGGTGTGAGGTGTTTTGTATAATTACTAAACATATTATTTGAAATCATTATGAAAATGAAAACGACACACCTATAAGATGCGACCATTTGAAGTTTTATTTCTAGTACTGAATTCACTGTTGTTATCACTCATTTAACATATTGGCCATATTGTATCCGTGTGTTGTTTCAATTTTTTCATAATAATTTGGGAGCCGTCAAAATATTGTGAACACCCAAAAGAATCAAGATTCATGGGATGAAAAAGTTTGAATACCTCTGCTTATATAGACTATAACTAATATTTCTAACTGATTCATGCACACAATATTGAAAATATGTTATCTCTGCATTTTCACTTTCCTTATAAATGTATACCTATATAGCTAATCAGGCTAATCTACAATATGGTATATGACAATACTACTTATTGTATATTTGTATACAATCTACAGGATAGCAACTAAATTATAATTTAGTATTTCACCAAACATTTTATTCATTAACTGAAAAA